ATTATATTTTGTTCGTTGATAATGAATGACTTAGAAATATATCATGTGATGTCACATGTATCCCCTTCCTCCCCTAGCAGACGTCAAGTTCTGCATTCCCAATTTAAAATACCTTCGCAAATATCTGCAAAGATAAAAAGCTACTCTGAGTTTTTATCATCTTTCTTGTAACAGTGGTATTAGAAGACGTTGTAAAAAGGATTCCAGAAAGTCGATCGTCTTATTGAAAGTCTGGATTAAAAAAAATTGACTGATTAAATGATGTTCAAAAAGATTTCAATCAACTATTGGAGGTGTTTAAGAATGAATTTGAAAGCAATAAAGAAGTCAAAAGAAATAAGAAACATGAAACAGATTCTTTACTAAGTGAACTTAGGAAGAAAAATGATAATAAGCTGGAGTGGTTTTCTTGATAGTGGAGTTGATAATAGGGAAAAGTTTTTGAATTTTTACGAAATGTAATAAAGGATTTGTGCCGTAGGGAAAAGTTAATAAGTTTATAAGTTAGGTAAGTGAGAGCTAATTCTTGCTAAATTCACGTCTTTCGTTTGTAAAAAGAATTTATTTTTTACAATTCGTTAAAGGAAACAAATTGTCTTTTGATAATTCTGTTTGTTCTATCACACGAGTGTCTGGTGATTTGGTATAGGAGGTCTCGAATTAGGAAGAGAAAATTGATGTCACATTTAATCAATTTCCTCAGTCAATCTAAAGAAATTGACTAATCAACTCAGACAATCTAAAAAAATTAACTAAATTCGAAAGGATATTTTATATAAGGGTAATAAAGCTCACACGTATGAGTTGATAGTAGATGATTTGATTGAATTTAATTTAATTTTAGGCATTCGGGAGAGTATCTAAATATTTTTGAGTAAATATGAAATTGTAGGTATTTAGGGATATTAATTAAGTTGTAATATACTGATTAAGGAACATAAGTTTTTCCTGATGATTAACTTTTGGGAAATAAAGAGTATTATGTCTTTTTTCATCTGGGAGACAGGCAGAAAGTGTGATTTCAATCTTGAAACCGTAAAAAATAAATTTAATCAAGTAGACAATTATCTTGTCTTACTTTTATTTGGATAAGATGATCTTATGATTTAATTATTGGTGTTTTTAATTTTCACCCTGATTATTATGATAACAAAATTATAAACGAAATTAAACTATTTCGTTTATAATTTCCCTCATCTGCGTTTCGGAAATTATAAAGTTACTTAAAAATTATTCATTAAAGTATATACATGTTGTTGAAAGGGGTTAGAGGGCTGTCCACAAATAGCGGCGGACTTATGCCCTGTTGGAAAAAAAAAGAAGAAGTTAGGATAGGAAGAAAAGATGGAAGAAGAAACAAAGTGAGATAGAATAGTGGGAAGAGAACAGCAACCAGTGGGCCCCCATGGGACCCCACGGACGTCTGCATCGGGTCATCTATTAAATTCAAACATACTTATTTACAGAATGGCAATAATCATTTCTGCCAAAACAAAATTTGCCCGACAAAAAAAAAAGACTACATACCATAATATAAGAACAAAGAAATTATAAATAAACATAAAATTTTTAAACCGGAAATGAACAACTATTTACATTTGATTATAGTTAATACCACATCTCGTGGTTTACAATTGAAGGTTGAGTTGAATAAAATAAGATGAAAATGAAGAAGGCCAACTGTTGAAAAGTCAACTAGAAGTTATTTACCTTCTTAAACTAATATCGGCATAGAAAAGGTCCAAGTTGGACCTTTCAGTAAGATGCGAAGACTTATTCACTAATGAATAACCTTAATATAACTAGTCGTGAGTCATGAACATATATGTACAAGTAACCAATTCTGTATAATAATGAAAAGTCCCACCGGCAATGATACCTCGATGATCAATCTTGCCCCAGTGATGATACCGCAACCAGGTGCAGTATGGTGGCACCGACGGTATCGGGGGTTAATCTCAACAGTGGAGAAAAGAATCGAACATGGGTCACTGCAGGTGAGCAATAGAGCCAGAGGAAAGCACTTATGCCGCCATAGCCCACAGGAAGGAAGATTCCAAAAAATGCTTTAGTCTCTNGAGAAAGGAATCGATCATGGGTCACTGCAGGTGAGCAATAGAGCCAGAGGAAAGCACTTATGCCACCATAGCCCACAGGAAGGAAGATTCCAAAAAATGCTTTAGTCTCTAATAATCTTCACTGTCTTCACTTTCACTATTACTATCAATGTTATAATTCTGTGTGCTGTTGATGTTGTCTTCGCTTTCCTCCTCATTTTGTTGTGTTTGTTTTTTATAAAAATCAGGAATAAGGGCTCTTGTCTTCCTAATGAAGCATTCTAAGCTTTCCCAAATATCCTTGTTATTAAAGATTTTGTTATGTGCTGGCCTCCAACCCAATCCGTTTTGTATACATTCTCTAAAAAATGGTTGTCTTTGTTGTTCGTATCTCCTACAGTCGAACATATAGTGGTCAGCATCACCTATACTTGTTCCATCACATTGACACCTGTCGTCCTCTCTCTTCTTAAATCTGGTTAGATAAGCCTGGAAGCAGCCATGGTTGGTAAGTATTTGCGTTGTTTCGTAGTTTATTTTAAAATGTTTGTTACTAAGTCTGTCGCTAATTGTTGGGATGAATTTGTAACTTTGTCTTCCTGTTTTGGACTGATCCCATTCTCTTTGCCAATTTTTTAATTCCCATTGCTTTAGATGGTAGTTTAGCGTTGATTTCGATAGTCTTTTGTATGTTATTGGAAGATCCATTTGGGCTGCCCGTTTAGCAAGAAAATCGGCCTTTTCATTACCAGTTTTGCCTTGGTGGGCCGGTATCCAGTTGAATTGTAATTTATTTGCTCCTGCTATTATGTTTGCCTTTTTAATTGTTTCTGTTCCAAACAATGTAATCATTTTCTCTTTCCTGAGTGTTTGTAGTGCCGTTCTGCTATCCACAAAAAACTTAATACCACCTTTGTATATTTTTTGATTCTTTCTAATGTGATTTAACGCTTTGTATATTGCCCAAATCTCAGCCTGTGTATTTGTACAATAGTTTGCAAGTTTGAGGCTCGCCTGGTAAGAAATTGTGTTATCTTTCCCTTTTATTATTACAATTCCTGCACCAGCTCCTTGTTGCTGTTTGGAACCGTCTGTGTATACTCTCCATTGAAATTCTTTGTGATTTTTTTCGTCAAAATCCAGGCTAACATTGTACCTACTGAATTCAGCAGGGTGTATTTGGCTCGTGATACTGTTGTCATTTCTGTCGATTTCGGTGGTTTTAATTATTTCTGGTATTTCCAATATGTTATTTGGGATTATTTTGTTAATTATTTTTTTATCTACTTCTTCTTTCTCGTCTCTCCATAAGTTTGTATTAGTTACAATCCACTTCCATGCTGTTGATTTAGCAGTAATATAAATTGGTGTTATGCCAGCAATAACCAGTAATGCGTCGGTCGGTGCAGTCCTATATGCTTTGGTGATCTTTATCAAAGCCTGCCTCTGAACCGATAGTAATTTTTTCCTAATATGTATATTATTAGTCGCTTCCTGCCATATTGGAGCTGCATATAAGATTGCTGGCTCAATTGCTGTTTTATATATCAATTTGCAGTTTTCCGGGTTCATTCCCCAGAATTTCCCTGCAATCCTATTCATCTGATTGATTCTTTGTCTAATTTTCCCTGTAACTTCATTTATATGAGAATGCCAACTTAGGTTAGGATCTAAATATACCCCCAAGTATTTCAGGGTTTTCACTTGTTTAATCTTTTCGTTGTTAATTCGAAGCTTTAATGTTTTTTTTAGTTGGCCCCTCTTATTTTTCCGGGTGCATACAAGCGCTTGGCATTTATCATGGTTTATCGGTAACCAGTGATCATTGCTCCATTGACCGATTTCCTCCAATATTTCGTTCGCTTTATCTCTTAATTGATCACAATTTTTATTGTATATCATCACCATAAGGTCGTCAGCAAAGGCCTGTACTTTAACATTATTTCTGCCGTCGAATTTGTAAAGCAATTTGTCAAAAACAAGATTCCATAAGCCCGGTCCGCAGCGCGAACCTTGTGGGCATCCTTTTTTGATTTTTTTCTTTATGTTTATTGTATTTGAATAGAATTGAATGTATCTGTCCTTTAAATAGCTACGTAGTAGTTTATTTTCGTATGTGGAGTCTTGTAATTCATCTATTGTGTTAAAGATATCCTCCCATCTAAGGTTGTCAAAGGCCTTGCTGAAATCTATTGAAATTAGTAGGGCGTGACTCTTCTTTTCCCATGCTTCATAGACAAATTCCTTTACACTTAATAATGCATGTAACGTCGATCTGTTTGGTCTAAATCCATATTGATTTCTGTGCATCTTGTTTTTACTATGTAATTCCCAATTGATTCTTTTAATTATTAATCCGTCTAATGCTTTCCCCATGGAAGGTAATAAACTGATAGGTCTGTAATCCGAAGCTTTCTCCGGGTTCTCTTTTTTTGGGATAAGCTTAATATTTGCCACTTTCCATGTTACTGGAAAATATCCTTGTTTTAGACATTCATTGAACAGATGTACAAATACAATCGGGATTTCATCAAAGGCGTGTTTTAACATTTCTGCTGTTATTAAATCCAGTCCTGGTGTTTTTTCCTTCCCATTGTATTTATTGCTTGTTTTACTTCGTTTAATGTGAAAAGTTTGCATCTGTGTTCCTGTTCGTTGTTCTTACTTTGATGGTTTACTGTTCTGTCTTCATCTTCAATTCCATCCAGTGGAAAGTGGAATTCCAGTAATTTTCGCAGGTTTTCCTCAATATTATAGGGATTGTTACCGCTGTTTTCCCCATTCCAGTTTATTATTTCAGGTAATTTTATCTGTTTTCTTTTCTTAATAACAATGCTGTATGTAAGTTCCCATGGACCTTTGCTGTTGCATTTGTCACAGAAATCTTTCCAAGCGGTTGATCGAGTTGTATTGATGTTCTTTTTATATGTTTTAAGCTGATCTTTATATTTTTCTTTGTTGTTGCTTTTGTTCGTTGTTTGTTGCACGTTGATATCTTTTTCTCAATTTATTTATTCTCTTTCTTTGTTTTTCCAGTTCCTCCGTCCACCAATGAGTTTTGGTGTTAATTTTTTTCCTCACCAATTTTCCTGCTCGTTTACCAGCTGTTTGCATGTCTTTCGTTAGCATTTCAACATAACGATCAATATCCTGTGTCGATTCAATTATTGGGTACTCATGGTTGCTCCAATTTTCATTAAAGTACTTTTTATATAGGTCCCAGTTTATATGTTTTGTGGTGAATATTTGATATTTATTCAGTTTTAAATTATTAATTTGAGTGGAAATAAAACGGTGGTCACTTGCAGAGGTTGTTAGTAAGGTTTCACAATTTATGACGTTTTGCGCTAAATCGCTCGAAACCAGACATACATCTGTCCATCCCCTTGCATGCGATGTGAAGAACGTAGGATGGTCTGTCATGTTAACTGAAATTAAATCATATTTTTCCATTAGTTCCATTGTTAATCTTCCCCTATTATCTTCCTTTTCGTTATACCATGCTGATGACTTGGCGTTTATATCGCCTGCAATAATTATGTGTTTGGATTTTATTTTACTAATAACTTTTTCTATTTCTTGTATACCCTTCTCATCCTCCATATAGGGTGACAAATAAGCGTTAACCAAGAAAATATTTGTTTTGTTTTGGATAATTACAGTGGTTATTATATTTGAAGACAGTTCAGGTACTAAAACAATATCGATGCTGTTATTCCTTACTCCTATGCAGCACTTTGGTTTTTTGTCAGATTGTTTGTATAAAATTTGCCATTGTCCCAAGCAGACCACTTTATTGTTTATAGTATATGGTTCTTGTATGATAATCAGATCTGCATTAAGTTCATTTGCTTTTTTCATCATCATTGAGGTGGGGGCTTTTGCTCTTTGAGCATTCAGTTGTAAAAGCTTTAAAGTGTCCTCTTCTCCTTTTTCAATTGATAGGTTATTTTGCTGTTTAAAATTTATTGATTGTTCCTGTGTATTGTCGCTGTTGTAACTACTGCCCATAATCTGTTCGTTTGATAATCTGTGTCTTCAGTTTTTTGAGAATAGGACACTCCCTACTGAATGCATTGTGGTTAGTGGCTTGTTTTTTGTCTGCAGGTAGATTATTGTTGTTTTTCTTGCAGTTTATGCATGATGGTATAGTTTGCTTGAGTTGACATTCACTGAACCTATGCTTTTTAGAGCAATGACTACATTGCTGCATTTGCTTACATTCGCGTGCCCAGTGCCCGAATCCGCAGCACTGGAAACATCTTTGTATGGGTATGTAATCGTCCACTTTCACAGTATACCAAGACAAGGCAATGCTCATATATTTCATTAAAATATTCCTTATTGATGGTGTGACTGTTATCACAACATGTCTTCCCTTGTCCTGAAGCTTTTTGCTCCTGATCACAGTTATGATCCTGCATTTGTTTTCTAAGTTGTTTTCATTAATATTCCTCCATATGTCATTTTGATGAATCATTATTTCTATTATTTCGTCATCTTTTATTGTGTTTGGTACATCTAGAAGAATTACTTTAGGCTGCCTTTTCCCTGAAATTCTACAATTAACCCTCTTTTCTATTTCCGGAATTCCCTCCACCGCCGTTTTCAGTCTTTCACCCTCTTCTTCGTTAGTAACTGTGAAACATATTCCGTTTCCCTTGATTCTTTTAATTCCTTTTACTTTGACTTGTATTTGTTTCGGTTGTATGTTATCTTTAATTTTTTGAACTATTTCTTCCATGTTTGTTTTATCCTCTTCTTCACTTTTTGGGTATAACAAGACTGCGCTATTTCCCTCAGTTTCTCTGTTTTTATTAATTGCAGCTGTATTTTGACTTTGACTTCTGGTGAGGATTCAAGTTTGCTTTAGCCGCTTCCGCGTAGCTTATTTTGTTTGATCCTTTATTATTTTGGTTTATACTTGTTTTAATTTCCTTGATTGATTCTATTAAGTTTGGAGTTATGTCACTTTGTTCTTCCATTCTTGTTCTCATTTCGGAGAGAATGCCGTACATCTGTTGCACTGCCGCAAAAAGATGAACAACTCTGTCCTTTATTTCCTTCCTTTCTTCTATCTTTATTTTGGTCTTGTAAGATTCCGGAAGTAAATCCATTATCCTCCTCATTTGTTGCTTGGCATCCTTAAGAATTTTGTCTTCAATTGTATTACCTATTGTTAAGTTGCAAATTTTTGTTAAAGTTTCCCCCGAATCCTCTTGGGTTTCATCGCAAAATAATTCTGTATTATTCTCAATTCCCTCCATTATGTAAGAGTACCAAATAGTTTACTATAAACAATTAAAAAGGAAGGTTGTGTTTTTGAAAAGGATGGTTCTGTACCACAGCAACACTGTACTATTGAGTCGTGACTCAACCCACAGTGCAGAAAAGATAGATTAAACTTATTAAAAATTAATTAAACTACTTAATACTAATTTGACAATTTTTACATTGATGTTCTATAGTTGATCTTCCTCTGACTGTTGATTCTCATTGGCAGATTGTTAACTTCCTGTTACAAAAATCCAAATCCTCAAAAAGCACGTTAAAATGTCAATGACGTCACTGGATAACCGTTAAAGTCCGTTATAATCCGCTTAAGTTGTAAAGGTCGTTGACTGTTGCCTAGGTAACCGCTTTCCGTTAAGTGTATAAAGTTGTTAAAAATTCGTGGATTTTAAACTTGCCGTAATTTGAATAATTTTGGAGATTTTAAGCTGAAATTTTTGTAGAAAATTACTGAAGATCCCCTTCCACTGATAGCCGTAAAATTTTGATTGTATCTGTCACTAGAGGCCCGATGCGGGCCCGCAAAGTCCGACGTTAACAAAGTTTAAAAACGTTATTTTTCGGGAACGGTTGGTCCTAGACCCCCAAAATTTTGATGTGGTACTTACAGTTTGTAGCTTTATAGTATTCTGTTGAGAATTCCGGTTGAACGGCCTTATTCTCCGGATGAGCGAACCCCGAAAAGTTGACTTTTTTATCGGCTTCTAACTTCCAAAATTCTGACCTTAGGGTCACAAAAGTGGCACCGTTAGATTCCTCTTGTTGAGCCGGTTCCGATAATATAAGATTTATTACGATGTGTACACTAAATACCAAGATTAAAAACGATCGATCAGGACCCAAGTTTCCTCCAACTTCACTACTTCACTTACACATTTTATAACCTCCTGTTAGTGTATTGCAGAAGGTTAAACTTATCGATGAGAGAAGTCTTCACAGTAAGAGAACCAACGATATTTAAAGCGGAAATATTTTTCTATATGGAAATTTTGGTAAGAGTGAAAAATTCTGTAAATTAAAATTTCGATCCCCCCTGGCTCACCTCTGCTATTGTTCCTGTCAAATGTAGGCAACAATGTTGAAAGGGTAGTATTGACCCACTTTTCGAGTTGTGAGGAAAAGAAGTTTCGTCGCAGTTTAGATTTAGTGAAATATTGTCTTTCCTTTTCATTTATCTTTTCAGTTGATTAGGTCGAATACAGAGAGAGTGCTGCAAGGGGAAGATGAACCTTTCTGGAGTTTGGGAAAACATATGCAAATAATACATTGCTCAATTACAATTTGGCACAATCGCGACTCGCGAGATGACACGCAACTGTGATCTAACTAATCTACCCTGCATACAGCATATAGTGTGTGCCATAAGTCGCATGTCATCCTGCTGGTCGTGATCGCGTCGCTACTGATTCTCACACTATAAGAGCGGCAGAGTGCAGCATGTATTATTATTTTGCAGATCCTCCAAAATTCGATACCAAAACTCTAAAAACCGTCGGATTGCGTTTATGGACAACGTTTTCGTTATTCCTTTTAGTTGAACCTCGTCTATAAAACCTCGTCTATATCGTCTATACATTAATCCGACGATTTTTAATGTTTTGCGTAACGACAAGAACCGTGATTGCTAAACCAACTCCTTTGATATTTATTCCATTCCAATTGAGGACCAGAGTTTCAACAGAGCTAACATATGTGGGGAGTACCAGACATATATATATATAACCCAATCAACAGGTGTCCGTCCTTCCTTCTGTCCGTCCGTCCCATAACCGTTTGATAACCGACACTAGAGGCGCCCCTATCGTGTGTCATATTTCAAACATTCAAATTAAATTAACAATTTTAATTATTATTTAAATGAACAATATAAATTATTATTATTCATTTGGCCAATAAATTATTATTTGGTCAATATAACAATATAAATAATTCATTATATTTGTAATAGGAATTTATTATTGTCACGGAATGCCTGTAATGTTCACTAGGAGGCGAATAACGAAAAACCGGATAGATTTGAACCGCTACGATAAAACGATAAGGTTTGAAATAGTTAAGCTAATTTTTTAATATAATAATAGAAACCTTTCATGGCACGACTACAGTGGCTAGCCACTGTAGGCACGACCAAAGAAATACGCCACTGTGGAGGAACGTAAAGCTGCCGCTGCTTTAAACATGCCTCATAGGAATTTGTAATACTGCTAAAACGCCCACTAGGGAGCGTCCCGGGCTACTAGTATTAAAATGTGGCATGCAGCGTACAGTATGTCCGCCATGTTCCTTCCGTTTCGGATTTTTGCGAATGACGTTNCTAAAAACAGGAGTAAGAAATAACAAAAACACAGTAAATTAATCATTTTGGTATTTAGATTTAATGTTATCGGGTTAGTGTTGTTTGTTTATATTTATTTATAACTTATAACATGCACAAAATAAAAAAGAAAATAATATTAGTCACATGTATTCACAATTTATAATTACAAAGATCAGCACACGTACACACCTATTCGTTCGAGAATCGTCACACATCTGAGGTCTGACACCGCCTATCCTTCTGTTTAAGCGCTCTTCCTTTCTCTTTCTTCTATCGCTCTAGTCCACGTATGCATACATCATAATACACTCTCACGATACTTTCGATTCGTCACTTTTCCACGTAGATTCCTTCGTTCCTTCGTAGATTCCTTCGTAGATTCCTTCGTAGATTGGAAATCACGTTTCCTTCGTCACGTAGATTTCCAATTTTACAATTACGTGACTCATAGCCTGGCGACAACGGAGAAAAGAGACAGATAGGACGTAAGTATAAATCACAGTTATGATTTCACAAATTCGAGACAGCTTGATAGCCCGAACGGTTCCAGGCTTTCGCCCGTGCACGCTAAGTTTCTTTCATTACAAGCATTTAGCTTTCCGAAGTCTATGACAACAATTGTTTGGCATTGACGGCCGTGAATTTCGCGCTAATAAGCTGCCTCGACTTGTTCCATTATGTTATGAACTCAATTTCATATTTATTTTCACATTTTTACTTCGCGGTCCTTCTCTTTCTTTTTCCGTTATTTACACGTGTAGGACATTTCATTGTTATTCACATTTGATATAATCATTTATCACATACTTTCATGACACTAATTTGTCCGTTACAACTGCCAAGAATTAACGCTATTGGCGAAGCGTAGTGACAGCGGGCCAATAGAGAGCAGGGTCCTTGCTATAATGCAATTTGCGCGCCAATTTTCGTACGTGCGTTAATCAAGCCGAATAGTTTGGCCGAATATTCGGCTATTCGCCCTGAGACCGAATATACCATTCGTTGCAACACTATTAATTACACATTTTTTACAGATAAACCTTATAAACATGTGTATAAACATGTGTGAATTACGAAATAAAGTATCGATTTCGCTAAAAATAGTTGTAAAAATGACTGGTGCCCAGTTAACGGAAAAGCTTATTTTCGCTTATTTTTATTCTGTGTACAATTCAATTTTACATTTGCTTATATTTAACTTATATTTTTCTTATATTCATTGTATTAGAATGATTTGAGTATTAGAGTGGTTTAG